GGGTTTGAACCGCCAGCCATCTGGTTAGCAGGCAAGTGTCTTAGCCACTACGCTACCAGAGCTCCCTTGTACTTAGGGACTCCTAAATAACCAGTTACTGCTGAGTCAACTCATGGCAACCCCATGTGTTTTGGAAACAGATCATCAGAACTTTCTTCTGAGGCACTTCTGGGTGGACTGGAACTCCCAACCTTTTGGTTAGCAGCTGAGGGCATTAACTGTGCCACCCAGGAACTCCTACCATTAGTCCCTTTGAAATTCCTGAAAGAGTGCTAAGCTATGTCACAGAAATAATAAGTTACAGAATACACTGAAAGTTTTAAAACAATAAAGATTATTAGTAGGGAACTTCATCTATAATTTCCTCTAAAGGATATGATTATTACACAGATTAAACAAGACTAAGGAGAGTAAACATTTCAAAATGACAGGAGTAAATGTGCAGAAACACTAAGTGATTAAATAGCCTGAAACTGTGACAACTACCCTGCATTTCAAAGCTCTCACAGGCCAGTAAGGGACTGGAAAGGGTATTCTAAAACAGACTATGAACCAACTGTGATATAGAACAGGAAATGAGCCAATCCTTCAAAAGGATGTTAATACAAGTTCATATAAGGCACCCTTGAATTTTTCAAATCAATTTAAGCTTCTTCCTTCAATCTAGAGTGTGTTTTTTTCCTCACATCAAAAGAATCAGATTTTAGTGACTTGAAAGCTCTCTCTCTCTAGGTTTTTCACACTTGAATATTTTCATAGTCAAACAAAGAAATGCCTAGAAACATGAAAGTTCAATTTCTCCAATAAAAACCAACTTGAGACTTTATTTAAATTCTAACCTAAAATGCTAACATGTTTATTTACTGTCTATTTAAACAATTCCTCTTTTGAATGAACAGCCAAGATTAGCTGAAATTTTAGTATACACTATGGTAGCATAGTGCCTAAGACATCTGACTGCCGGGCAATCTACTTCCATAGAGATGTTGTTGTTGTGGTTATTTGCCATTGAGTTGGACTGGGCTCATAGCAACCCCTCCTTGGGTTTCTGAGGCAGTATCACTACGGAAGTAGATTGCCCAACCTATCACCTTGGAAACCCAAAGAGGGGTTGCTTGATGGACTCCACAGCAGTGAGGTTTTTTTTTTTTTTTTGGCATTTAATGCAGGATTAGAAAACCTTGAAAAATATTTTAAGGAATTAAAATTGATTTAAAATTTTTTATTTATTTTTATCTATTGTATCCCATATATGGAACTTCATTCATTAAAAATTGCTTGTTTTATCTGTATGGCAAACTCTTAAATGAATATGCCACTTTGTATTTATACTTCAAACCTAATGAATATCAAAATAAGTTTTCATTCCTTAGTTTCTCATCTATGGACACTTTCTGAGCAGCACAGAACTCAAGCTTATCCCCTTTATGCCCCAAATGTTCACACTATAATTCCAGAGTCAATAGAGTTCCTTAAAAGAATCACCAAGAGGTTGAAACCATCTATAAAGTGTTGATTTCTGTTAGAGTTAAGTTTCTTGCTTCTATTTCCTCTTTATTTTTATTTCTAAAAGAAGGCAACTATTGTTAAAAGTGCTACAAATGCCTCCTAGGTCAGGCGACTACATAATGTATCATCTAAATTGAGCCACTTTTTGAGAGTGAAAGGAGGTGCTATAAATAATGAGGCCAGGACCACAAGTGCAAACTGGTGGTTTGAGGCAAACTGACATGCAGTCACCTTACTCCTCAGAGCCCAAGTGTGTGCACAGGCTTTCAGCTTTGGTTTTTTTTTTTTTTTTTTTGAGGTCCTTTGAGGGTCTTGGGAAGGTCCCTAATCAAAATGACCTGTTCAGTTAGTCTCTGAGTTTCACGTTCTATCTGTTCCTGCCTTCCACAGCATCTTGCACCAGCACTTACCCAACCACCATGTCCTTGGGTCCAGCAGTCACAGTGCAGATCCCATCTTCACAGTGTTTCCCCACTAGGCTGTGTGCATGCAGGTGGATGTTCTTTCCATTTGTAACCAGCTGAACAATAACCTTTGCAGGTCCCACATAGTTGCAGATCTATATAAGAAGCACATTTTAAAAGTCAGCACATCCAACTATATAGCAACATGGAAAACTGCTTATGAGAAGCTAGTAAATATAAAAAGAAAGATACAAAATTCTGTATACATATACATTTATAATCACAGCTCCACTTTTTAAAATATGCACTGAACAAACGACAGGATGGAAATAAATCAAAATGCAAATGGTGGTTGTTTTGTGAGGTAGGAAGATACACTCCATGAAGCACACCACTTAAAATCCAGTATGTATTGTTAAAGTTGGAACAGTACACCTTGGGGGATACAGTGTAGCTATAAAGCACCCCCTTCCTATGAAGAACATGTTTTCATCGGCACTCACCTCACAGTTTTGGGTTGCACAAGCTGGGTGAATGATTGGTGATAAGGAAATTTTTGATTAATGGAAATCAAAGGAAGGAAGGAAGTGAGCAGAAACAGTGCATCCTAACCCTGCCACAGCAAGGCAGGAGAAAGAGTACTACCCAGGGACCTGGTTCTGAAGGCTGGCCTTGGGCACTTAAGCCCAAGGACTTGGTCCACAGTCAACTGTTAAGATAGATACTTTAGCTTTCAGGACTTCTATACTATGAGTTACATATGCCCAAGTCACTATAAGTTTTCTCAATTCAAAACTTGTGTACTTTCTAAGTGGAAATCCTTAGATGTGACACTTGTTTAGCAATTACTTCATAAAATTAGATTTTTTTCACTTAAGCAAATTTATCTTTTTTACTGTTATATCTTAAGAATTATAAGGACAGCAGTAAAAAGGGAACAGCATAAAAATCATGACATTTTAAACAAGGAGAGGCTGGACATCCTTGTTCCTCCAGCCAATCTTCTAGCCCCCTCTAGAAGACCACAGATTCCTTTCCTTGAGAAATGCCAGCACTAAAATTATTCCTCTAACAATAAGCCCTAATGACATTATTTTTATCTTCTAGAATCCTAGTAAGTCAGAATCTTTGATAAATTCAGCCCAACTGTTAGATACAGTGTACAGAAATGCACTACATCTCCTCACAGGGTGACCAACCAACCATCTGGGTTTGCCTAGACTGAGGGGTTTCCTGAGATACAGGACTTCCAGTGCTAAATGAGATGGTTACCCTATCTCCTTAGCTCATATGGTCTCTTTTTGAGGAAGTGCACTTAAATCCAGGATCTCCCAACTATACAATCATTGGAAATCGACCTGCAAAAGCAGCCCAGAGCCCAAAAGGGAAAGGACATAGGAATACCACCTAGAGATGGGTCCCTGATGGAAGTTTTTCTGGTTTAAACTGGTGAGTAACTTATACCTGCCAATAAGACTTGAAAAGAGATGGTGTCCCTCTCAACAAGGCCACAAATGTAAACATCACCAAACAGACTCATATGAGACAGAGTTTTGGTAGAATTTTCTCAGTAAGGATTTTTTTTCCCCAAGATTTCAGACGTTGATCAGAGCTGGGATTATTCCCCAGAAGATTTAGGGGAGAGTTTTCTCCCCTGAACAACAGACAGACTCTCCTCTGATCAACAGTGTGACTCCACTGGAAATCTTAGTGCTTCTGAATCTTCTAACTTCCTTTCAAGAAACAGAGGCACTAGCAAGAGTGGCCGCCAGTCCTTGCAGAGTAAGTTAATCCCAAAGAGCATTTAGACTTAGAATGGAATTTGCCCACTTCAGAGCACAAATAAATGATTTCTCAAAGAAGTATACCAAAGGAAAAAAAAAAAACCCTAAAAAACCAAAACCAGTTGCCATTAGGTTGACCCTGACTCATGGTGACCCCATGTCTATCAGAATAGAACTGTGTTCTACAGGGTTTTCGATGGTTTGTTTTTCAGAAGTAGATCACCAGGCCTTTCTTTCGAGGTAACTCTGGGTAAATTCAAACCACCTACCTTTTGGTTAGCAAACAAGTATGTTAACCATTTGTACCACCCAACCAAAAAAAAAAAAACCAAACCCAGCACTATTGAGTTGATTCTGACTCACTGCAACCCCTTGGGTTTCCAAGGTTTTAAATCTTTATGGAAGTAGATTTTCTCCCTTGGAGCAGCTGGTGGGTTTGAACCACTGACCTTCTGATTAGTAACCAAATACCTTACCCACTATGCCACCAGAGCTCCTTCTGCATCACCCAGGGACTCTTAGACTTTCAAAAAATCAGCCATTGAAAATCCTATGGAGCACAGTTCTACAGTGACACACACGGGATTCTCGTGAGTCAGAGCTGATTCAATGGCTTTAAACAGGTATAGTATTTTTTTTAGCAAAAAAACCCTCTGGGCATACAGCTAATAATAAACTTAGTGCTTTTCCTTTTATAACAGTTAGAACGCCTTTAAGTGCAGAATAGGGAATGAGAAATTCTGGGTTTGCTCCAAAGTTTGTTGTTGTCACTCCATACACCCTGGATTGGTGAAGCCAATTTCTGTGCCGTGGCTACCACATCTGAAGTCAGTCTTTGTCACACTGATACATCCCACAGGGACTTCTTAAGTGATAAATAAAGAGTGAAAGGGCACTAAACAGACCATATTATTTCATTTTTAAGTGATACTGAGCCCAGGAATGCAACAGTATAAGACATGACAGATACTTCACTTGGGTGAAATCAGGTAGACTTCTCAATTAAGCAGGAGACTGGAAGGAATCCAGTGATTACAGCCCAATCACTCGGGATTTCTGGACCTTTCAATGTTACCACTATGAAGAAATTAGTCACTGACATGGAAGGAAAGAAGTGGGAGGTGTCCTCAAAAAGTACTAATTTCTTTTTCACTATAACTTCATGATTGAAGGGTGGCAAGAATGAGGAACTGGGTAGTCTATGAGGTAAAGGATCTGAAAATTTGCCAGTGACTAATGTGGCGTTTGATCCATTCGAAAGAGTCTAAGTCAGCATGGCATCATCTGGTTTTTACATAGACCACAGGACAATGACAGAGAGGCCCCTGGGTTTTGTGGACTTTCCAAAATACTGACTGAAAGAAGAAAGCTGAAGTGTGGGGACAGAAAAAAAAAAAAGATACTGTTTTCAAGTTATATGGCTCTTGAAGGCATTGGAATTATAATTAGGGGAGAGCATACTTTATAAAAGGCCATGACAACTGAGTCATTTGCAGGTGATCAGAAATTCATCAGTTCTATGGAGAATTTAATTCTTTTTATTCAGTGTCCCTTTCACTTCTTTGAATAGTGGTTCCTTTGAAAATTGTTTATTAGAGAGCAATGGAACCTGCAAGAAAAGATGGATTATTGTTGAAAGAGTCTTAATATAGTAGGTTCTTTATAGGCATTAAGGAGCTCTGGTGGTACAGTGGATAAGGTGTTTGGTTGCTAACCAAAAGGTCAGCAGTTCAAGCATACCAGCTCCTCCATGGGCGGAAGATGAGGCAGTCTACTTCTGTAAAGATTTATAGCCTTGGAAACCCTATGAGGTCCCTATAAGTCAGAATTGACTTGATGGCATTGGATTTGGTTTTATTATTTTTTAAATAAACATTAATGGCCTAAACACTGATTAAGCTGCCAATAAGCTCAAAGAGACAAAAGTGATAAAATGAATAATTAGTTACAAAGGGACATGGATTTTAGAGACAGACTATCTGGGTCTGAAGACAGTTCTGCAACTTCCTGTTTGTGTGACCCTGCAGTGTGAAAAGGGGATACCTCAAAGCATTACTGGGAGGACAAAGAAAATTAGTGCATATGAAGTGTTCAGAACAGTTCCCAGCAAATAATAACAGTACATAAATAATAACTATTATCCTATTAGATACTGTAATATACTCATCTACCTACAGATCTTTAAACAATCCAACTGTGCTAAAATGATTTTAAAAGACAAAATCCTGTTTAAAGGTAGGTGGGTGGAATAAATGACTGATTCAGTCAACTCTATTCCTAGGGTAAGTCTTTTTCCAGAAAGCCTACTTTATTGGGCTCGTTAACTTTCTAGTAGTAATTATGTTATTATAGTAACACCTATCATTCCAGAGAGTGCTCAGGATATGGTGGCTTCCTTGATGAAATCAAGACTTTCTTCCAGGAGCTTTCTGACTGAACATCTGACTCAACGATGACCACAGCTACATCTGCTTTTTGAATCAGAAAGAGAAACCCAGGGTCTCAGATAACACTGAACTTAGTCAAATCACGACATTTATTTAAAACAACTCTGCCATGTTGTGACAAAGGCAGCTTTTCAAAGGTGATTAAGAGAACCAGTTTAAATTTTCTGAAAAACAGAATTTGAAATGTCCAGTTTACTTTCTAGGCAAATTTGACCAAATAACTTTCACAGAATGTAGAGTTAACATAAATATAAGCTATGACACATGACAGATTTTTTTTTTTTTCAGATCAGTTTTCCTCTTTAAGTTATTAAGATAATAATGAAGTAAAGGGGGAGGAAAAGATCCACACTACCAAATAGAAATCTGCCCCAACTTTACTTGGGTACTTGACTTAGTCTTCTGCATAAAGCAACAGAGCAAAGCAGTTAAGTGCAAGGGATCCAGAGCTAGTCTGCCTGGTTTGACTCCCCGTTGCTGCTCTGTGACTTGGGCAAGATGGTTGACAACATCTCTAGACTTCAGTTTTTCCATCTTTCAAATGAGAATAACAAAACTGATTCCATAAAATTGTTTTAAAGATTAAATGAGTTAATACAGTATTTTACATCTAATGGACTTAGCAACCCAAAGAATAATCATCTTTCCCATCCAGGCTCACTGATAAATTGATGATTTATCCATTCATTCAGTGAGAATTTATTAAGCTCTTTTGTTGTCTGGGAGTCTCTGGAGGGTAAAAATAGCTAACCAGAAGTTTGGCAGTTGGAATACCCCCCAGAGACACCTCAAAAGAAAGGCCTAACAATCTACTTCCAAAAAAATCAGCCCTCAAAAACTCTGGATCACAATTCTATTCTGACACACATGGGGTCACCCTCAGTCAGAATCAACCCAACAGCAACTGGTAACTGGTGTGTTTCA